ATGGCCCGTTCCATGGCTCTCCGCATTACTCTCAGGCGCTCAGCACTTTTCTTTGTCATTGCCATTGTTTCTAGGCTATAGATTGGCACTGGTAGAATACACATATCGAAGACTTTTCTTTTGAGATTTATTGGTACCTCCTGATTTTTGAAGATGTAGTACATACGTCTTATTTCAGCTGATTGGTTTTCTTCGCCTATCTTTATAACATGTCCCAGGTATATGTATTCGTTTACGTTTTCCAATGTAGTGTTTTCTAGTTTTCTGTTTACTTCCGTGTTACTAATAACTTTTGTTTTCGATAGGTTCATGCTCAAGCCGATCTTTTTTGATGCTGCGTTTAGTTCTTCAATCATGTTTGTAAGCTCTTGGATGTTGCTACTTATTAGAACAATATCATCGGCAAACCGTAAATAGCTCAGGTAGATTCCATCGATGTTGATACCTTCAGTCTCCCATGTTAGTGATTTGAAGACATTTTCCAAAGCTAGGGTAAATAGTTTGGGGGATATCGTGTCTCCTTGACGCACACCTTAATTTACTTTGATCTTATCGGTTATTTGGTCTTTGTTTATTTTGACATGAAATGTAGCGTTTTCATAGATGTCTTTTAGCAAATTGGAGTAGCGGGAGTCGGAGTCAATTCTAGCATCGTCCATAGCCAGTAGCGTAACAAGGTCCTTATGAGCCCGAGCGCAAACTTTTTGATAGCCCCCCACAAAAAAATAATAATAATTTTGTGGAGCATCAGGTTGGGGGTATCGGACCTTCCCCAAAGTCAAGTGATTTTTATCTAACAAATTTGATGTGATGTCGTTAATGTAATATGGAAAACAATCGATTGGAATAAAACTACACGTATTGTCCGTCGTTTTTAATCTGACACTTTCCGTATGAGGACTGAGGAGCGAGAGGGTGAAGCATAAGGCATAAACAGGTGTGACGTCAGGTGATCATTGGCGTTTTAACGTAGGGAGCCACCTCACATTCCTTTGGAGTATCAGATTGGAAACAACGGACTGTACATGTATCACATTCTTTAGGGACGTCAGAACGAGAACTTTACGAAGAGCCAGCGCGAAAATGTTCCAACGCTCAGGTTGAAGATATGGAAAAAATTGTCCGACTTGGTTTTATGAAGCCGCTCAAGGGACCTTATGGAGCAGCGTTCTCAGGAGAACGAGTGTTCCTTATTTCTCAATGATATGCAAGTAACAACAGCTATTTTTCAAACGCCTATATCACATGCTGTAGCAAAAATAACTCTTAAAGGGAGTGTGATCCAAAAAAAAACAACTTAAGATACTTGAATCAAGAAAAAAAAAATCTAAAATCTCTTGTGAAAACCGCAGTCCTATATTCAAAATAGATCTCCTTATGAAGACAAATTCTGTGGGAACTTATGACGTCACACCGGCTAACCGCAGCCTTCTGTTTAATCAGTAGTCAGTGAACCGTGTCCTATACTTTGAGTGGTTGCAATTCGCTCCAAGTAGGATCGTTGACTTTTATTTTGGAAAATTTTACACCTATTTTAACTGTGTTGCCGACGCCAGTGATACGTCACAGCCTAGGCGTTCGTCACTTTAAAACACCCTAACTCGAAAAAGGTAGCAAGATGTGGTTTAATTATTTGTTCTAAGATTATTTAGCACTAGAACTTTCATTTTTGAGTCACACTCCCTTTTGTAAAACATAGGAAATTATTTTGATAAACACAACATGGGAATACATAATAAAAATACTTAGGAATACTTGGAAATAAGATGGAAATAACTAGGAATACATGGGAATACCTTGTAACAATCGGGAAATGCTTACTGGGAAATACTAGGAATAATTTGGAAATTACCAGGAATACTAAAGAATACTGGGAATACTTGAAAATTTACCAAACCCGAATATGGGAATCGGAATCCCCAGACGTTTTTCTTTTGGGTGGTTTGATCCCCCGGTTATTCTCGTTAGTTTAAAAACTACAGGTTTCAGGTGAATGTCTTACTTGAACAGTTTAACAGTATATTGGTGAGTAGATGGTTGCGGAACTAGCAAGTTCCGCAATAATCCACTCATTTGTACTAAAACAATAACTTATTATATAAAGTCAAAATTTGTAAGATTATGATTAGTCACTTTTTGTCAATTTGCCTTTCAACAGGAATTAGTAATGTTACTTTACCAAACTAGTAACATAATGTGACAAGTTATTCAAGTACAAATGAGTGAATTGTTGCTGAATTTATGGGTGGACCTCTGCGGGACGAGCGTAGCGAGTTCCGCAGCCATCTATTCACCAATATGTTATTCAAGTACGATACTTAACTGACTCACTCAAATGAGCGTTATTCTCATTAATTTAAAAACTACACGTTTCAGGTGAGTGTCTTATTTGAACAGTTCAACAGTATATTGGTGAATAGATGGCTGCGGAACTCGCTGCGCTCGTCCCGCAGAGGTCCACCCATAAGTTCCGCAATAATTTACTTATTTGTACTTGAACAATAACCTATTATATAAAGTCAGAATTTGTAAGATTGTCTACTTTTTGTCAATTCGCTTTTCAACAGAAATTAGTAATTTTGCTTTACCAAACTAGCAACATAATGTGATAAGTTATTCAATTACAAACGAGTAAATTGTTGTGGAACTTATAGGTAAACCACTGCAGGAAGAGCGCAGCGAGTTCCGCAGCCATCTATTCATTAATACGTTGTTCAAGTAAAGTACGATACTAACCTGACTTACTCAAATGTCAGTTATTCTCATTAGTTCAAAAACTACACATTTCAGATGAGTATTTTATTTGAATAGTTCAACAGTATATTGGTGAATGGATGGCTACGTAATTCGCTGCGCTCGTCCCACAGAGGTCCACCCGTAAGATCCGCAATAATCTACTTATTTGTACTTAAACAATAACTTATTATATAAAGTCAAAATTTGTAAGATTATGATTAGTCACTTTTTGACAATTTGCCTTTCAACAGGAATTAGTAATGTTACTTTACCAAACTAGTAACATAATGTGACAAGTTATTCAAGTACAAATGAGTGAATTGTTACGGAATTTATGGGTGGACCTCTGCGGGACGAGCGCAGCGAGTTCCGCAGCCATCTATTCATCACGATTCATTAAGATACTAACCTGGCTCACTCAAATGTGAGTTATTCTCATTAGTTTAAAAACTACACGTTTCAGGTGAATGTCTTACTTGAACAGTTCAACACTATATTGGTGAGTAGATGGCTGCGGAACTCGCTGCGATCGTCCCGCAGAGGTCCACCCATAAGTTCCGCAATAATTAACTTATTTGTACTTGAAAAATAACTTATTATATAAGGTCAGAATGTGTAAGATTATCCACTTTTTGTCAATTCGTATTTCAACAGGAATTAGTAATGTTACTTTACCAAACTAGTGATATATTGTGACAAGTTATTCAAGTACAAATGATTGGATTGTTGCGGAGCTTATGGGTGGTCCCAGCCATCCATTCACCAATGTGTTGTTCAAGTACAATACTAATCTGATTTACCCAGTAGTGAGTTTTTCTCATTAGTTCAAAAACTACACGTTTCAGGTTAGTTATTTGAACAGTTCAACTGTGTATTGATGAGTAGATAGCTGCGGAACCTCTCTATAAGTTCCGCAATAATTCACTTATTTGTACATACATGCTATTTTTAAATTTTAATAGTTTAATACTATTTTTCAAAGGAGTAGAAACTTTTATGAAGAATAACTTTTTTTCGTAAAATTGATAATAAAAAAAGTCGCGTGCAGCACAGTACACATGATAGAAGTGAATACTTATTTATTGATTCGTTGAGGGTGAGTGAGTGAGTGAGAAAGAGAGACACAGAGAGAGAGAGATGTATTGTACATATTACAGGTTTATCGAAATTCACCATCTCTTTCTCTCTCTCTCCCTTATATTCATCATATATGCTTCATCTCACTTGCGAGACGAAAATTTTATAAATCGTGTCGTGACGCGACCTTGAAAAATCACTCTCATGCGGCCAAAGAAATATTCACTTCAAAAAGTTTCCCATATGCTGCGAACTTAGGTAGACACAGACACACTGTATACCTATATATATAAAAAGTAGATGAAGAATGATTCTAAATCTAGAAGTTTGTAGGTTTTGACAAACTTCATGCCTTCTACATCTGAAATTATTACTCTATACTTCAGTGGCGGTTCGCCCATATGGGCAAGGTGGGCACCGCCACCCTGGAGAGAAAATGGAAAAATAAAAAATACCTTTAAGATAATCCTACTTGGGAGTAGGATTATCTATGCTTTAATACAATATTTGAAAAGGCCGCGACCTTGAAAATCTAAAAAAAATTGCCCATGGCTGTTTTTTATTTTTGTCGCCCACCCTTACTTGGACACCACGAGCCGCCACTGCTATACTTTACTTTTTTCCAAGATAGATTTTGACATTGAAAACTTTGAAACATAAACAATAACGCTGATTCGTCGCAAAATGAGGTATTTCTACAGGTTGACATCAGTTTTACAATAGCGGCCAATAAGTGGCATTAGCGGCATTGTTTATGTTTCAAAGTTGACAATGTCAAAATCTATCTTGGAAAAAAATAAAGTATAGACACATTAGTCTACAAATATTTATTTTTTCAAAAATCATAGATTCGTCCCTGTGTCGATATAGGAGTAGCGAAAAGTTCTCGTGGGCAATAAAACAAAAGTCCCGAAAACGTGGAAAACTCGATGTGAACAAAACCCGTTGAATTATTAAAAAGAGCCATGCATATCAAAAAGTTGCACTGAGAAACGGCACTGCATTGCACGTACATCTCTACAACCAGCAGGCACTATGCGGAATTATTGTGTTAGTTGGCCGACATATAAACTTTTACGCCCCCCATATCTTTAGAAGTTTTCGTGATTATTATGCATGACGCCGACGACGTGGAGGAAAAAGTTATGGTTTCAAAACAACCCTTTAGTATTTTTTTTTTTTTTCAGTTTAGACCGCGAACAACCCTTTACCTTCCAACTAGGAGTGGGCCAGGTGATTAAAGGGTGGGACGAAGGCTTGAAAGAAATGTGCGTAGGCGAAAAAAGGCAACTTACTATTCCTCCTCACCTTGGCTACGGAGACAAAGGAGCAGGAAATGTTATTCCTGGAAAAGCTACCCTACATTTTGAGGTAAGAATTCTTTCCTATGCAATTTAAACATTTTTCAGACTCAGATGAATCATTTTGAGACGTTCAAAACAGGCCTTCAAAAATCCTTCTATATCACACTTGCATCTAAAAGGGATCAGAAAAGCTTTTGAAGGTCTCAAATATTCAAAAAAATGTATAGAAAAAAACAGTGATATACTTCTTCAGCCTTAGCATTTAGGATTTATAAATTAAATCGTCTGTGACTTTTTTTCTTGAGTAGGTATATTTGGTAAATTTTTGTTTGAGCTGGATTACTAGAATACACATAGTAATAATTTCAAATTCCTATAATGCAAAATTTAGCGAATTTACGTGCGATTTGTGTCAATTGTCGCTTTAAATGCAAACCATTATATTTCGGCTTAACCATATGCCAGTTCCATAGATTATGTTTTGTCCTATTATCCGGATTTCAATTGAGGATGTTATTTTGTGTGTGTGTAGGTATGTTTACCCTGCCAATTTTGCTTAAATTTGTTCATCTTATTTCCCGATTTTTTCTTCAAATTCTTCGCTCAATTTAGGCTTGAATTTCCTCTCTATACCTATTTCTCAAGTTTTGTTTATTTTCGGCTCTTAAACTGTTATTTTCATTTAGAAAAATTCTAACCAGAAAATTAATGAAATTTCATAAGTAAATTGAGTTCTACTCGAATGAGGAGTTTTTAAACTAATGCAGAAAGATTGAGATGAGTAACCATATTTTCTATTATAAATTTTTGAATTTCCAGGTTGAACTAATCAACATTGGAGACACCCCACCAACAACAAACGTCTTCAAGGAAATCGACGCCGATGCCGATAACCAACTCAGTCGTGATGAGGTAAGAAAACTAAAAATTGCACACGCGAATTACTTTCACACATTCAAAGGTTTCACTTTTTTCGAGAGAAATTAAACGATGTCCATATAAATTACATGAAATGTGTTTTTGATTTCTAAATTATGTTGTAGGTGAGTGAGTATCTTAAAAAGCAAATGGTAGCAGCCGACAATGGTAACCCGAGCGAAGAAGTGAAAAATATGCTAGCGGAACACGACAAACTCGTCGAAGAAATTTTCCAGCACGAAGATAAAGACAAAAACGGATTTATTTCGCACAACGAATTCTCCGGACCCAAACACGACGAACTTTAAATTGGTTTTTAGTTTTGTATAAAAAGAAAATAAATTAAAATATATTCCAATTTTTGATACCTCGACTTAGATGATAAGGAGTTGTAGATTTTATTTTTGTTATCTACCTCTATAATTTTGCACAAGTTAATTTGCCAAAATTTAGAGTTTCTTCGTTCTTTTTCTTTTGTAGTAAACATTATTTATTATTGTTGTTATACGAAGAGTTAATTAAAAAAAAAAACAATGTTTTTTGTATTTGTGATTGTTTTAATCTGCATTAATTGTTCAAACATCCTCCTGTATAAAGTATTACGTAATATTTACAATGAAATTGTTTGAACAAAAATAACAATAAAAACACAAAAGCCATGGGCTAGGTAGGTACTTTTATCATACAGTGAAAAATAATGGCTTCAACAACAACTACTGGAAAAATACTGTACACCATACCAGAAAAACTTAATCAAGAATTAATTTTAAAAGTTGAAAGATTGCCTCACTTTGTGTATAAAAATGGATATCTTAATATGGCTTTTGTTGATGTTGATGGGTAAGTAAATCCATATCTATTGTTGGACCAAATAATTCCAGCCAAAAAATACAAAAATCTGGAATACGAATTTCGTGGATTTTGTACTTGTAAGTTCCAGGTGCAATTAACAACCACTAAAAAGTTGCAGTAATCGTAAAATGTTATTTTGGTGGCGGGTTACTTGAAACTTTTATTGGCCATTTGGCGAATAGTTTGTTTCATTTTGGGTTACTATCTTGTAAAAATTACTTCAATTTGGAATGAAGAAAATCAATTATGTACTTATATAAGAGATATAAGATTGGATTAAATGGGCACTTATTCGAAAGTATAGTTGAGTTCTTGGACAAATCATATCAAATCGAATCATTTATTTCGTGCCATTTACACTTATGTGTTTACACATGTTAAAAAATAGTATGTAGTAGGTACATTTCATTTTTGAAAAAAGATTTCACAAAGTAGCTTAAAATTTACAATTATAAAACTTTCCTAAATATTTATTATATTATTAACACAATTTAAAATACATTTAAACACTTTAAAATAAAATAGCAATCAAAACAATTTAAAATATACATAAAAATACATCAGACATAATATAAACATTAGGTTAAGACAAGTCTTTAACTTTCCTTTCTAATTGGATTCTGCTGAGATTTTTTAGGGGTTCTAGAATTTTATTGAAGAAATTTATAGAATGATATCCAGGACCATTTTGACACCTATGTAAACGATGGTAAATAGGTTGTAGGTTATTTTTATTTCTTGTGTCATAATCATGAACATCACTATGCCGGATAAATCTGTCATGACCGTCCCTGACATACCTACATCAAGTTCTGTAAGATGTATTCATGTATTCACCTGGGAGAGTCAAAACTTTGAGATCAACAAAAGCTTGTTTACAATTATCTCTGTATTTCAATCCTGCTATTATTCTTATGACTCGCCTTTGCAAGGCAAAGACTCTGCGGGAACCGCTTGAGTAGCCCCAAACTAATAGTGCATAACTTAAGTGTGAATGGGAGAAGAAAAGTAAGCTTGTTTTAGAATGTCAGAAAAAACACACAATGACCAATTTTAACGTTGGCCGGACGTTTTTCTAAGACCTCCAACTGACCTTATGATTGGTCGTGTCAGACGACGTTTTTAAAACGTTTCAGAGGTCACAGGATATGATTATAACGACGGATTGACGTCTTCAATGCAACGTTGAATTTGGTACAATATTATGGCGTCCATTTTATGATTTTCATCTTACCTTATGATTGGTCGTATTAGACGACGTCTAAAAAACGTTTCAGAGGTCACAAGTATACAATAGGACGACGGATTGACGTTATCAATTTAACGTTAAAACTGGTTTTCATTTATTACGTTAAAATTGAGCTAGATAAAGGTCCGATTTCTTGACCACATATTAAGGACGACGGCACGACGTAATTTTAACGAAAAATCATTGACGGACACTAATCTGCACTGTATCTGCACTTTTGGGGACGTTGTATTTGGTTAATACGTAGACGCAGGGACATGTATGTGCTACTTGGGCAGTGGCAATCAGTCAGTGTCTTTGGTTTGTGCAGTCGTGTCGTCTGCAAAGTTGTAATATATTTCATCTAAAGCAATGTTGGGAAGATCATTTAGGTAAAGCAAAAACAATATTGGTCCTAAGATTGATTTCTGTGGTACACCAACATTGATTTGCTGTCTATCTGATACTTTATTATCAAAATAAACGGGTCTATAAACCTAGTAGTCCTAAGGTGGAAAAAAACTTCGGGAACTCTATAATAATTAGGTGCTTTTTAGGTGCTAATTAGGGCCTCTAATTAAAAATTAGGTGCTCCTCTAGTTTTTGAGAAAATCAAAAAAAAAAACTAAGGGATTGCTAGGTGTATGAAAGCTAGCAGTCCCTTAGGTTTTCTTGATTTTCTCAAAAACTAAAGGAGCACTATTTTTCAATTAGAGGCCCTAATTAACACCTAAAAAGCACCTAATTATTATATAGATCCCGAAGTTTTTTTGCCATTCTGACACACCAACAAGTAAACGTAAAGCCAGCAGTGCCCTAATAATTAAAAAAAAAATCTGTAACTCAGTTAATAATTAATCAATTCTATTTTTTCTTCGACTATTTAGGAGCACCTAAAAAGCACCTAATTCTGATAAAAAAGAAATTTTTGGAAAAATATTTTTCACTATAGGGGACTACTAGCTTTCATAAACTTAGCAATCCCTCAGTTTTTTTTGATTTTCTCGAAAACAGAGGAGCACTTAATTTTTAATTAGAGGCCCTAATCAGCACCTAAAAAGCACCTAATTATTATATAGATCCCGAAGTTTTTTTGCCATTTTGACACACCAACATGTAAACGTAAAGTCAGCAGTCCCCTAATAATTAAAAAAATCTGTAACTCAGTTAATAATTAATCAATTCTATTTTTTCTTGGACTATTTAAGAGCACCTAAAAAGCACCTAATTCTGATACAAAGAAAAAATTTGAAAAGATATTTTTTACTGGTACTGCTAGCTTTATAAACCTAGCAGTCCCTTAGTTTTTTTTGATTTTCTCAAAAACTAAAGGAGCACCTAATTTTTAATTAGAGGCCCTAATTAGCACCTAAAAAGCACCTAATTATTATGTAGTTCCCGAAGTTTTTTTCTACCTTGGGACTGCTAGGTTTATAGACCTAAAATTAACAATTTGTTGGCGATTTTTTAAGTACGACTTTATCAGTTTTATGCTGTTATTTGAAAATTTATAGTAGGGTAATTTGTCCAGTAAAATGTCGTGAGAAACACAGTCGCAAGCCTTGCTCAGGTCACAGAAAGTAGAAACTATGTAGGTACTGAGAGCTCTCAAAACCCTCCATTACATTCTCAACCAGTCCCAAAACCGCCAAAGTCGTATTTCTTCCCTCTCTAAAACCAAACTGATTTGCATTTAAGAATCCTTCATTTTCCATATGTTCAGACATCTGGATTTTGAGACATTTTTCATTTTTCAACAATTTTTGATATGGAGGGCAGAAGAGATATGGGTCCAAACATCATTAAGACTTATTTCAGAAATCTACCACGATGGTTGATTGTTTGAAATAAGGAATTCATCAAGAATCAGTAGAATTCAAATTCAAGCCTTAAGCTATGGTTGCATTCTTGAAACCGCATTCAACATCTTCTTAGATTTCAATAATGGCAATAATAATCATTAAGAAAACAAAAATTACTCTATTTTCGAGAATTCAATTATTCTACACATAAAGAAGTTGAATTCCTGGAACAACTTTCTACAGAGTTTAAGTTAGAGAAAATTCCATTAATATCCTACTTAATTTAACGATGAAACATCTTCAAACCTTGTGAATATCTATCTGCTATTATTTATTACAATTTGAATAGCTTGACTAAGAGAATTCCGCAAATATCTACAAACCATCGCACCAGTCCTGAAAAATGACTTTACGTCGCCACCACTGTGCCACAAACTTACCTTTTCGTGCTACATTGAACGTCCATTACGATGTCCAAGCGTTTATTCTTGCTACCTATGAAATTAATTTTCTGCTGCACTGTTATAACATCATTCACCTCTATGATAGTAAACCAGTCCTGATCACTAAACAATTCATTAAAAGTTTGAAAATTCACTTTGGGAATAGTCTTACTTACATATTGAGGATGAATTGTTTTCCTGTTTGTTATTTTCATGAAATAAGTTTAGCATAACAAAGATTGGTTGTGTTTCACGGCTATAACTTAAGGGATATTTAATCTAAGTGGAATATGATTCTCGTAGAAACAAAAGTCACATTCAAAGCTCCACTTAGATTAAATATCACTTAAGTTATAGGCGTGCAAATGGCCATCAGTCATTATTATCGTTCTTAACTTTATAATATATGTATATGATCAAGACATGAGTGCAGTCAGGAATCACACGGGTTGGGCTAATGATGATAGAGTTGAATCCATTAGAGTTTGAAATTGAAAGATATGTGGTTGAGTTTTCATTTTGTTCAAGTAAATTTATGTCAATATCACCAAGAAAAATTACAGTATTCTATCCATTGGAAGTCATATTGAGAAATGGCTTTCCAAATCGTTAAGAAACAATTGGACATTCGTAACTGGAGGCCTATATACGCATGTGACTCCATAACTCAAGTTATCTTTCTCGAAAGTAAACCTTTCTAAAGGTCACTCCCGAGCTTTCAAACTTACCATTCTCCAAACACACATTCAAGGATTACTTGACAAAGACTATTACGCCATTGTGTCAAAAAAAAACGCTAGGGCTCTATCGCTATCATATTTGACATAAATGTCAACAATATCTTTTTTTTCATATTCATACCTATCTGGAAAAAATATATGGCGATTTATATAGAATTTGGCTCGAAAAATCCAAAAAAATATGTTTCGAATCTGTACAGATCATTGATACAGCTCTACAGCAACGTTACACAGAAAAAAATAGATAAAATAAGCTGTCAAAAATCTCGTGCAAAATCAGTGCTTATTCGTTGTGCCGACACTGACATTTTGGTTTTGGCCATATCTTTCTATTCTCAATTGAAACGCCTAGACATGGAAAATCTCTGGCTGCTCAGAGCTGGGCAAAGCCCTCAGTAAAAGGGCTTGAAG